CTATTACCCTATTTGTAGACCACAATCAGCTAACTCTAGATACTATGGGGGCTTAGGTATTTTGATCAAATATGAAGTTCGCAAGGGCATCAAGATTTTGATAAATACATGTAAAGATTATCAATGGTTACAGTTTGATAAACATTATTTTAATCTAAGTACAGATATATTCCTATGTTTGGCATATATTATACCAGCTACTTCATTTTATGTTGATCAATCAGAAGATGACACACTAGAAAACATAGAAAAAGATATCATAAATTTTAGCCATCAAGGTAGTATTATATTGTGTGGGGACTTAAATGCAAGGACAGGGTCAGAGCCAGATTTTATAATAAATGATGTTAATGATACACATATACCAATGTATGATAATTATAGTTGTGATATTATTCAAGAAAAGAGATTAAGTTATGATATGAAAGTAGATTCAAGAGGTAAACAACTTCTGGACTTGTGTATTGCGTCCAAATTACGTATTTTAAATGGAAGAATGTGGGGCGATTCTTATGGTAAATACACTTGTATAAAAGCAGTAGGTAGTAGTGTGGTTGACTATGTTATCATGTCGGAAGACTTGATTGAAGATACTTTATTTTTTCATGTTGCTGATTTTTTATCAACTCTGTCAGACTGTCACTGTAAACTGACATTTGGCCTGTTAGCTAGTTACTCGCATAAAGCTAAGGAGCAAGACAATACTATTTTATTTCCAGGAAAATATATATGGTCAGAAACCTCTACACAAAAACTTCAAGATACTTTATGCCAGCCAATTATTAGAAATAGTATCAAAAATTTTTTAGACACAAAATTTAATCTTTCAGAGGACTATATTGAAAAGGCAGCTAATGAATGTTTTGATATAATAGATAATGCTGCCAGTAAATGTTTAATATTCCGTAAAACCAAGAAAAAAGTTGCACGTAAATACAAAAACAAAAAATGGTTTGACAAAGACCTGGTACAAAAACGTAAAAGCCTTATTTCTAAAGGTGAGCTGTTATCAAAATTCCCCTGGGACCCAATTATAAAAGGGTCTTACTATAAATGTTATAGGGAGTATAATAAGCTACGTAAATATAAACAAAGGAAATTTAAACAAAACATTCTTGACAGTCTGGATAATCTAAGGGATAATAATCCAAAGAGTTATTGGAATCTCATCAAAGAATTAAAAGAAGACAATTTGGATGGTCCAGAACATTCTATTCAAACTAACGTCTGGTTTTCATATTTTCAATCTTTAAATCTCAACTCTGACAAATTTAAAGACAGATTAGAGGAAATTAACAAGAAAGTAAAAAATTTAGAAAATAATCCAACTTTTTGTGAACTGGATTACAAAATAACCCTAAAAGAAATTTTGGATGCTATAAATAAACTAAAGAATAATAAAGCTGCAGGACTAGATGGTATCCCAAACGAGATATTAAAATCAGGGGGTAGTATATTTGCACCTGTTTTGCAGAAACTTTTTAACTTGATATTCTGCTCTGGAACATACCCTCGCAAATGGTCATTGTCTTATATATGTCCAATTTTTAAAGCAGGGAGTCCTAGTAAACCTGAAAATTACAGAGGCATAGCAATTAATTCATGCATTGGAAAATTATTTAACAGTATTCTTAATAAAAGACTTGACATTCATCTTGATAAAAATAATATAATTCATCCATGTCAGGTTGGTTTCTCAAAAAAGAGCAGAACATCTGACCATATGTTTGTTTTAAAAACCATATTAGATAAATATACTAACAGAAAAGGGGGGAAAATTTATGCTTGCTTTGTGGACTTTAAAAAGGCTTTTGATAGGGTCATACACTGTGGTATTAGATACAAATTATTGGAAAATAACATATCTGGAAAATTTTATACTATTTTAAAAGACATGTACAGAAAAAATGAAATGTCGGTGAAAGTGGGTAATGTACTAACGCCATCTTTCAGCTCGCTAGTTGGGGTTAGGCAAGGGGATGTTCTAAGCCCAAATTTATTTAAGCTTTTCATTAACGATCTGCCTCCAAGATTTGAGTCGAGTCCAGATGCTGTTTATATCAATGGGCGTAGAATTGATTGTCTTATGTACGCCGATGACATTATTATATTATCAAACACTAAACAGGGTCTGCAAACCCGACTTGATAACCTGCAAACTTATTGTATTGATTGGTGTCTAGATGTTAACTTGTCCAAAACAAAAGTTTTAATTTTTAACAAGCCTGGAAAATTTTTGAAGGAATCACTTTGTTTAGATAATGAGGCTATAGAATGTGTTAACAGATATAAATATTTAGGGATAGTCTTTACTTCCAGTGGTCTTTTTCAGCAGGGGAAAGAAGAGCTATTCAAAAAGTCCTTAAAGGCAAAATTTAAACTACAAAAATCCATGTCAGCTTGTAATCCAAGTATTGATACTGCAATCCATTTATATGATCACACAATAAAACCAATTTTATTATATTGTAGTGAAATCTGGGGTACCTTTAAGATTAACTCTGCTGCTTGCAAGAAAAAAAGTGATTATCTATTTGAATTAATTTACATAAATGATTATTTGGAAAAATCACATTTCAGGTATCTAAAATATATTCTTGGTGTAAATAAAAAAGCCTCAAATTTGGCAGTGTTATCAGAGGTTGCAAGATTTCCTCTTTATTTTTCTGTCATTATATCTATGGTAAAATATGTACACAGGCTTAACAAATTGGACGATGGGTTACTTTATGATGCTTATGTTTGTAATAAAATTTTAGATGCAGGAAACATTAATTGTTGGTATTCATCTATGAGATATGTCCTTCAATCACTTGATATACAAAATTTGAATACAAAGCTCAATAGATTAATTAAATTTGTAAAATGTAAACTTTGTAACAGTTTTAAAACATTTTGGGGGGTCAAAAGATCTGATACCTTATCACAAGGTAATAGTAAATTAGAAAATTATTTCAACCTCAAGACTGACTTCGTAAAGGAGGCTTATTTATCAATTAAAGATTTTAATATAAGAAGAGCTATATGTAAATTGAGAATAAGTGCACATGATCTTAAAATTGAGAAAGATAGGTATAGTAAAAAATACATAGAGAGAAGTCAGCGTCTATGTCATCACTGCCTATCACATGGATCAAATTCTATTGAAGATGAGACCCATTTCACAGTAAGTTGTCCTTTATATAACGAACAGAGAAAATTATTATGGGATAAAGTAAACAGTTTTTGTAATAATTTTAAAGAATTACCCAAGGATAAAAAATATTTCTGGCTGTTCACAAATGAGCATTTACCAACTCTTATGTGCCTAGGCAATTATATAATTAAGTGTTTAGAAATAAGATCCAGGTGGATACAAAATATATAAAATTATTATGCAATTATTGTTAATGTTATGTAAGACACATGATGTGTTAGGCTCTGATCCTGTCCAATATATGATAGTATTATATTAGGATATAGTTTTTCTTTTTTCCAATCATATTGTGCTTAATATTGTTGTAAATGATGCCCTTTATGGGTTCTTGATTAGATTAATAAAATTCTTATCTTATCTTATCTTATCTTATAGTAAAATTTTGTAACCGAGATCAAAGATTTAACAATTACATGTTATACTTTGTTACAAATAAAATATTTTGGTAAAATACGTTTAGAAGGCAACCAACATTTTTCACATGTAACCTGTAAGCCGTCTGGCCATCTGTTTGATAAGTTCACACTGAAGTCTTGTCTTTACACGGGACGGTAGTATGATCCGTTCACACTTATCTAGACACTCGGTGGTGTGATTGTATATTTCAAATGTGATCCATTACAGTTTGTCTATATACACGCGGAACGTCTTTTTGCTTAATTCAAAATCATTTTTACACGAGGTGATCTTTTTTGTTTGAATCTTTCACACTTGCCTATACACACGGAACGGTCTGTTTTTATCATTCACACTTTTCTAGACATAGGCCGTTTGTTTGATAATTTTACATTTGTCTCGGATGCGGTCTGTTGGATTCGATCACACTTGTCTAGATATAGGATGTTCTGTTTGATTCGTTCACACTAGTCTAGATAAGGGATGTTATGTTTGATTCGTTCACACTAGTCCAGATAAGGGATGTTATGTTTGATTCGTTCACCCTAGTCCAGATAAGGGATGTTATGTTTGATTCGTTCACACTAGTCTAGATAAGGGATATTATGTTTGATTCGTTAACACAAGTCCAGATAAGGGATGTTATGTTTGAATCGTTCACACTAGTCTAGATAAGGGATATTATGTTTGATTCGTTCACACAAGTCCAGATAAGGGATGTTATGTTTGATTCGTTCACACTAGTCTAGATAAGGGATATTATGTTTGATTCGTTCGCACTTGTCCAGATAAGGGATGTTATGTTTGATTCGTTCGCACTTGTCCAGATAAGGGATGTTATGTTTGATTCGTTCACACTTGTCCAGATAGTGGATGTTACGTTGGATTCGTTCACACTTGTCCAGATAAGGGGTGTTATATGTTGGATTCTTCCACGCTTGCCTAGACATTGGCTGTCTGTTTGAATCTTTCATACGTGACTTCACATCATTACACAATTCTAAATAATTCTGGCACTTGTCTAGACAGGAGATCGTTTGAGGTGCTCACGTTCATCTAGAACGTGTTTGAATTTCACAGAATAGGGGCGATCTGTTTTAATAGTTCACTTTAATTTGTCTAGACATTTGACGTCTGATTGATTAGTTCCATTTCTTTTCTTGAGTGTGTGTGTGTTTTTGTATGTTTTCATTCAGATGATAGTTTGTTTGTTAGTTCATTCTTAATTGGTACAGAAACGTGGTTGTACATGTAATGTATCATAAAAGTTTATATGAGAATTTTCCCTTTTAACATTACTTTTGTTTAATCTATAGTTAGTTAGTCAGTTAGCATTAGACTATAACAAACTAAAATATTGAGCCTTGTTTTTCTTGATAAAAATAATCGTGTTATAAAAAAGTGTTCGTATGTTAAAACATTTTATTATTTGATTTATTAAGATGTATTCTTTGTAAATGAACCCACCACGCAAATGTCTCACATATGTACTTGATAACAATGATTCCTGGTTTTCGATTCTCATCATCATCATCATCATCATCATCATTATTGAAGTATGTATGTGCTTCTGTTGTTCCTATCATAAAATACAAATCAATAAATGTGAAAATTATATAAGGGAAACAATAAAATATACAGGAGCAAATTTATTCAATATGAATTAATCGTCTTTGGAATATGAAACCCTATTAACGAGATAATTTTTATGCGCTTTCCAAGATCAGACCGTTTTCATTATGGAAATACTGGAGCTGCCACTCTTAATCTATATTGTCTCAAAATAAAAAAGAAAAGTAGCTGGATGTTTTGATTAAATCATAGCATATCGACATTAGATAAAAATGGACCGCTAGGTTGTAAGATACGTGTATTCTAACATAAGAAACAGGAGATCGTCGGCTCTCAATAACATGGTCAAAACTCTTCTCCCAATATACCACGAGATTTTTTAAGCAACTTGATCCGGTGAAGTTTATATTTTTCCAATCATGCAATTATCGCATATGTATAAAAGAAGTAAATATTGCATTTACATGACAAATTGTGGATCCGAAGCTGAATAGAAATATATATTGTTCAGTAAATAGCAAAATATTGCATATATTAATCAATTCAAAATGTTGCATTCAAATGAAAATTATACAATATTAATATAAAGAAAGTATTGCTTGAATACAGAAAATTCTACAAACTGAATAGTAAAAAAAAAATGCTCCTAAATGAAAATTATACAAACATTGTAAACAGAACATAAAATGTGTAAAAATATAAAAAGATTTTTGTCGACTTTAATAAAAAAAATTATAAAAAAATTCTCGAAAATATACAGGGTCAAGATTATTTTTTAACTCGATATTGAATTAATATTAGTTTCTTTTTAAAATCATGAAATCTTGTAATTAAGCTAAGCTTAGGGTAGTGACACCATTTAAACCAGTAAACATATTTTTAGATAGAAAAAAAATATTGCAACATACTCGTATTGACTCCCAAGATGTACAACCAGAGAAGAAAACCAAGTTGCACCTGCTGAACATGTCAGTTGTGTTGCATGCGATAATGCAAAAGTAAAACCTTGTAAATCAGGTGTCTGCCATCTCCGCACTGAATGATCTCCGTGACTACCGCAATCAAATTTCCAGTCAATAATTCTTCCTATATGTCTAACATTGAAAAAAGATACATTTATAAAACAGTCACAATATCAAAATAGTTGACAATATATGTTTAAAATGTATTGATGCCACAGAATGTTTTAGTACCCCTCTATTCTTATTTTGTGGAGATATTGGATGTGCGTTTTATTTGAAAAATTCGTAAGGGTTCCACGGAACCCAGTGTCTCGCCTACTTTTTCTGTTAATCGCAGGCTCAACAAAAATGAGGAAGTAAATCAATAAAAATATTCCTCTTGATACTATATTTTGGTTGTAAGAAGCTTCTGTCCAAGTTTGGTAAAAATCCAGGATATTCAGTTATGAATCTAATAAATGTTTAAAAACTTTAACTGCAGACTGAATGTAATGTTAATTGGAAGAAAACAAAATGTCCTTCCAGATACTAGCATTTGAGCATAAACAAGCTTCTGTCCAAGTTTGGTACAAATCCAAAATAGTATAAGAAAGTTATTAAAATTTTAAAAACATTAACCACAGAGTGAATGTGTTGTTTCCTGGCAGAACATCTAAGTCCATTTAAAAGTAAAATACGGAAAAAATGGATTAATATTTTTACAAAATTTACTTCTGGATACTATCTTATGATCATAAACAAGCTTCTGTCCAAGTTTGGTAGAAACCCAGGATAGTTTAAGAAAGTTATTAAAATTCTAAAAACTTTAACCACAGAGTGAATGTAATATTTCCCGGCAGAAAAACTAAGTCCATTTATAAGTAAAATACGGAAAAAATGGAATTTTATTTTTACAAAATTTACTTCTGGATACTATCTTATGATCATAAACAAGCTTCTGTCCAAGTTTGGTAGAAATCCAGGATAGTTTAAGAAAGTTATTAAAATTTCAAAAACTTTAACCACAGAGTGAATATTTGTGGACGCCGCCGACGACGACGACGACGCCGACGCCGACGGAATGTAGGATCGCTATGTCTCGCTTTTTCGACTAAAGTCGAAGGCTCGACAAAAATATCGACCATGAAAACTATTGTTTTTTTTATAATCAATATGCTCAATGGATGGAAAGAAAAGACCATTTTACCCCCACACTTTTTTCATGTATGTCTATGCTTATTCCGCAAATAAAAGAGGGTTCAATAGAAGAGAAATCTTTCCTTTGACAACTATATTAATTGTAAGATAAGATGAAAATTGGGCAACAACTAGAGCTGTTCATTTTGTTTTACTACGTGACCTGGAAGAAAGGTCACATATTTTGTATGAAACGAACTTCACTGAATTTCACTACATCTCATCGAACATAAATTGGAAAACTTCTGTGATTATATTATAATTACCCAGCTCCACAGCTTAGGGTGCCATTCTGAGATATGAACATATCTGTGTTGTCTTTTTCACACACCCAATTCTTTGGAGAAAGAGATCTGAAAACAACGAAAATTGAACATTAAATGATTACCTTATGTACAAAGAATGATGGATTCTGTCATTTTGAAAGGCGGACAACAATCCAGCGGTGCATTACAGTGATGTTTTCTGTATTAATAATATTAGTTACATAGTGTGCTAGTGACCCCATATGAAATTTGCTAACCCCATATATATCGTATTAGGTCACTAGCACACTGTGTAATGAATTTATCTTACCGACTATCTTAACATGTGGCATTTAGACTAGTGGCCTATCAAAGTATCAAGTCTTCGATATTAAGAACCTACTTTCATTGGTCTATACAAAACCAAATGCCAGCAATAGCATCTTGTTAGCTTTTAATGTGTTTTTCTGCATTTATTTCAATCGTTCATCATTAATTTCTTTGTCTGCTGAAACCTTTCACACCTTGTTGTTTTTACAAAGGGATGTAACACCACTACTAACCGTGTATTGAAATAAACGACGCATACTAACCCCATATGAAATATACATGGTCTCCACGCGGTTGCTTTTAACCAATCATATTCCTAGAAATGTATAGGAGGTAAGATAAAGGCAGATGTAGAGTATACATCAATTAGACGGCAATCCAACTCAACGATAAAAATAACAAAAAGACATCTAATGGGTAACTGCTGATGGTGTTCCCAACTTGCGACAGGCACATGAAAATGTGACAGGGTTAAATAGTGTTTTTTTTAAATCTCGACCTTTTATTCTATGAAAGAAACTTTAGAATAACGGTTTAAAATGCAGAAAAATAAAATAAATAACAGATCATGAGAAAGGCATGATTTTGAGCCTTATCCAAAACAACTCTACAGACATACAACAACATATTACTAATAGTATTAATTTGCTTGAAACTATTAACTAACAAATTAATACTTATCCCCACCTATACGCGGCGCAAAGTTTAAACATTAACTGATTTCTACACATCATTCACAAAACAGTTCTAATGTAAAACTGTACGATAAAGTTTAATTATTTATCAATTTATTTATTTATTTTCGATCTAAGCCTAGGGTCGTGAAATAGGTCACGTAGTAAAAATAAAATGAACACCTCTAGTTGTTGCCCAATTTTCATCTTATCCTACAATTAATACAGTTGTCAAAGGAAAGATTTCTCTTCTATTGAACCCTCTTTTATTTGCGGAATAAGCATAGACATACATGAAAAAGTGTGGGGATAAAATGGTCTTTTCTTTCCATCTATTGAGCATATCAATTATAAAAAAACAATAATTTTCATGGTCGATATTTTTCAAATAAATCTACTTTTTTCATAGATATTTTTTTTTATAAATAAAAAGTGCATCTCTATCTGAGCAATCATAGCAGAAGGTCTTACCCTGGGCATCCATTTACTGGACATTTGAAACTGGAAAGCGGAAGCCAGACATCTCTACTTGCCATGATTTAAGATTTTTATTTTTTGATATCACGTTTAGTTTTATTAAATTCAACAAAGCATCGCGAGTTATTTTTAGACCTAACTGTAATACCCAAATAATTTATCCATTTAAAAAAATCATGCGTAGATATCATGTTGAATATGCATAAAAAATAATTGTTTTCAAACTTCCTGTTCATGCTACTCATGAATAATATGCAAATTAGTTCTACCCAGCAGGCACACAACGTTGAACCAACGTTGAAAATATGTTGAAATTTGGTTGTAGCGTTGATCAACGTAAAATCAACGTTGTATCAACGTCAATCCTATCAACGTTTAAATCACGTTGTTGAATCAACGTTGATCTGTGGTTAGAAATATCAACGTTGAACTTTCAACGTTGAATCAACATTGAATTTGAGTTGATGCTTTCAATGCTTTAATTGGTTGAAAATATAACGTTGATAAAAGGTTTAGTTAAGGTTGATGACTTTAAGTGTCGACCAAAGTATCATACAAGATGAGATTGAACCAACTTTGTATAATCACTTTTTATTTATATTAGTTTACTGATGTTTTTGAATTAATTCAATTATTACTGTTGCATATATAAATTAATCTTTAAATTGCGATAAAATATTATAATTACTCGAAACGGATATCTTTTTCTGATTGGCGCATGCGTATGAGGCCGATATTTCGAATTTATTTGCGCCAATTTGATTACCACATCAAGTTAACAGCTGCTCTCAGCAGTGCAAAGTAAGTATAATTTTCATTTATTGTTTGATTTGATAATAGTTATATGATAATTTAATGTATACAATAGTGTAGCTGTAATTATATGAGTATAGTGATTTAAGCAGATCAGAAATAATTTATAATTATACACGTAGTTGTCATATTCCAGCAGATAAGATACACATATATTGTTTAGGTCTCTGGTAACATCAGTGTTGACCTTAGATATATTTGTACATTTATTGGGTGAGGCAACTTATTATGTAAAGACTTGAAAAAGAGGGAGTGTGTTTATGAACAATGATTAGGTAATTAAAAACAAAAGCGAATGGCAAAGAATTCTATCATTGCAGATATTGGGCGGGTGGAGTCAAAATATATCATGGAACATCAGATGAAATTGAAGAATTTATTCGTCTGACAAATAATGATAATCAATTATTGAAGTTCACATATGTTCTTTTACATGTTTTATATGTTGATAAATAATTAAAAGTCAAAGATTTACAACACATGGCATTCTTGACCTTGCAACACATTTAAAACAAACAATTTTTTTTCTCTGGGTCAGAATTAATAGATGTCACTCACAGCATGTATTCCGAGGATTTATTAATGAAGCAGTACGGCAGATAATTCGAGAAACTTTTAAGCTTACAAATAAAAAAGATGATTAATCATCATTAGTTGATCAGCTGCATCGAAACAGTTTCATTATACCATAAATTTTATGTCACAAATGGCAGCCATGTGTTTTAGTTGGCTAATTCAATCACCTTCTTGATTGGTCAATAACTTTTTCGTAGAAAGGAATATTCTGATGTTGGAAACAGTGTTTTTTTTGTAACTTATATGCAAAATCGCCTATTGATAGATAGATAGATTGAGAGAGAGAGAGAGAGAGAGAGAGAGAGAGAGAGAGAGAGAGAGAGATTTTAAACACTGTTTGCTTAACTTCAGATTACATATTGTATATGCAAAAATATATAAACTCGTGAAATACCATTCTTACATATGCTTTTTTATATGACCGTTTATGTATAAACAAATTTATTATACTTTTCAGACACACAAGGCCATTTCGAAAGGAAAATATAGCTAATGATAACAAAATATCGTTGAAAAATATTTCAAAATATCAAGACGTTGACCCTAATTCCGAAAAAGGAACAACGTATACAAAAAGAACAACACACGATACTTCTGCAAATAATGGTAATCGTATGCAGTTTAAATCAGAACACGCTTTAAATAATACAAGGAATTTGGAAGACGAAAACGCCGTTGTGGTGAAAAAACACGACGTTGCATCTGGTAAGGAGAACGCAAATCGAAACGACACTAGCGAAAATGCTGATTCGTTGGATGTTCAGGAGAACAATTATGATTTACTAAACCAAGAAATACGGCCTAGTGATATCGAATCTGGGAATATCTACGACACTTCCAGAGGATGTCGTGACGTCTACGATACGACACAAAATGTCAATAGTAACAAAAACAAAGACGAATCTGTGTATGACCATACATGAAAGTGATCTCCAAACTTTTGTTAAATCTTCTCATCATGCCTATTAACATCATCAAAATCTTTGTTTTCTGTTTTGTGTATGAATTAAAGGCTTGTTTAAAATATGGAAAATCAAATCAAATATCATAGATACGCGTGTGCTGTAGTATTGACATGACATAGTTTGAAAGACGTTTTTCATTTCGATATATATATATTAATTTCACCGGGAAAACGCGTTCCTGATTGTAGGACTGATATCTTAAAAATCTATTTTACATTAATCAATTAATATACTAAGTTATCTTTTTGCTCTCATCTTTGTTGTAACTGTTTTGCATACGGTTTAGTCAAACATAATTGAAATTCATTCAAATGTTTGAAATGAGCATTAAGATAAGGAAGGGTCTCAATATTCTATTCTTATTTTTTCAGACGACGAGCTTCTAGCGTCCTTTATAGAATAGGGAGGATAAAAAAAGTAGTTTCTGTTATGAATGTTGAATGGCTATACGTCCATTGAAAAGGGTAGTATATCTTCAATTTCTGTAAGTTATGGCTTTAAATATCTCCATGATGTACTCCTTACTTTAGCTTTTTTAATTCACTTGTTTGATGATCAACCTTATTCTGTTTTCAGTGGAATTAAGATTAAATTTTCTATAATTTCGCATACAATTTTTTTACTTACGGTTAATCTAGTGAGTCGTCAATTAGATTTCTTACAGGGTGGCGATTTGAGTTTATTTTATCTCCCAGGGGAACACAGTCTTATTGCATATCTGTTTGAAAATACATTTTTATTTCTCTAATGTAAATTATTGCGCATCATTCTAGTTTTATTGCATTTAGTTGACCGAACAGAAAGATGTCGTATAACAGGCTTTATATAGGAACTTTACATTACCAGTACAAGAAGGCGATATGTCTAAATCGTCTAAGTCAAGTCAGCTCATATCTTGACTTACATCTAGAAATTGACAATGAGGGTCGATTGAGAACAGAACTTTACGACAAAGGAGATGATTTTTGCTTCACAATTAAGAATTTTTCATTTCTATGAAGCTATATTCAAGCAGCGCCTGCAAATGGAGTATATATCTCTTAGCTGATACGGTATTCCAGTGCCTGCGTTTCCTATCATCATTTCCTTGATAGAGGGTTGCTGCTCACAAAGGAAGCTATTAAACCGAGAGTTACAAGAGGTGAAGTTTAAATCATCCCTTCGAAAATTTTACGGACGCCATCACGGGTTGGTTGACCGTTATGGAATATCTGTTTCACAGATGACGACAGATATGTTCCAATCGACGTAACTGCAATCCCGTCCTCCTTTTCCTCGAATGTGACCTACCAAATTAGACTTATTGCCGGGTTTATACTTACATGAAATACACGACGGGTGCCACATATTGAGCAGGATATGCTTACCCCTCTGAAGCAACTGAGATCACCTGCCGATTTTGGTGGAGTTTTTGTTACCCAGTCTTTAGTATTCTATATTATGTTTTGTGTACTGTTGATTTTCTTTTGGTTTTTTTTGCCAGGGCGTTGTTAGTTTATTTTTCGACTTATGAGTTTGAATGTCCTTTTGTTATCTTTCGTCTCTCTTTTGTGTCTAATTCATTTCTAAAGACACATGTGAAATGACAAAATAATAATGCCATACTATCATGAATATTGAATCAATCTTCCGATCAAGAGGTATATTTATCGAGTTCAGTTACAAAATAGTGTGCACTTCATTGTACTCTTTCATCAAAATAACAATATTTGTTTTTTTTGTGATGGCATATCTTAAAATAAGTTCTTGTGCCTCAGCCTTGTAATAAAAAAAGCATTTTGAATTATAAGAATGTGGTTATCAATTGACTGTGAAACATTTGTAGGGATAAACTGTCTCTTTAGTACGGTTAACATCACACTGATGTAGAAACTTCTGATGGAGTAATGCAAAAAACTTTCATCTGCCACATTGCTCGATAGAAATAAAACACGCAAAACATACTTATAACCTCCTAGAAAAGTAACAATCATGAACGCTCAAATTCATTGTTTACTGTGAAGAAAGCATAAAAGCAGAAAGTAATGTAAAAGCAAAATTACACTTCTTGTGTCCACCAAGTATATAACTATTCGATATGATGTTGGTCTCTTCATTGCATCTGTTTTTCTAATGACAACTTGGTAACTTAATAAATATAAAGAGCTATTAATAACTGGTATAATTCCAAATGTCTATTTAAATGTTGAACTGTTGCTCCCATTGCTAATGATAGATGAAAGGATGCACCGTCATACTTTAAAAAGTAACAAATGTATGTCTTTTCTATCTTTGGTAACATTGACCCTGGTTTATTAAAAGAAATCAAATGTAAAAAAATATCTTCTCGGATATAACTGTTGTATTCATATAAATGAAAAAAGATCAACAAAAACATCATGTTGTTTTCTACCACGTACTGAGGTTGTGAGTTCGAACCCCGCAAGTGGCAGGTCGTTCGTTTCTGCCAAAGGTCGGTGGTTCTATCCGAGCAATTCGGCTTCTACCGTCATTAAAAGCTGGCCTACACAAAATAGCAAATAGTGCTGAATGTGGCGTTAAACGCCAAAAGTCAATCGATCAATAGATTAAACATTTAGTTAATACGTTTTGTTTATTCTAGATTTACAAATAGATATAACATATGATTTATCTATTTTTTTATATTTTCATAAAACGTTAATTTCTGCAATAAAATTTGAAAATATGCAGAAAAGATCACACATCAGA